AAATCTAACACCACTAGACGAGTCGGATAGCATCAAACCCCGGCCGTCTAACACCAATAGCCGAACCGAGAGGGTGGGCGAGGCTCAAGCCTCCGACCCCAACCACCGCAACGTGAACCGCCACAGCCATCGGGGTCCCTCCCCACCCAATGACGCTCGCACCATCTGACCCCGCCACAGCAAGCAGACAACCAGGGATCGGAGCCCCACCGGAAAGACAGAGCTCTGCCAGGAACGACCAAATCCAAACCGAGCGGGCATAGGCGAGAAAAGGAGACTTACGATCTCCCGACGGGACTTGACTGCGTTGGAAGAGAGGAAACCAGACACAGGGCCATCGTCGACCGGAAGAGGCGCATCCGCCATTGAAAGCCCCATCCACTGTCATGAATCGGAACCCTAATCGCCTCCAAACACGGCGAATCGGAGGAGCGAAACGGCAAGGGGAGGAGGAGGGCGGTCAGGACGACCCCTGGCCGGGCATATGCCGGCGAGAAGGAAGGCCAATCGGCCGGATTAAGAAACGGACCTCAAGAGCGGCGCCGATGTTTTTTGTCGCGAGAGCAGAGTATCGTTGGAGCCAGATGTTCACCATATATTACTCAATTATTATTTTATTATAAAATTTACAGTCATATAATGTAATTATTATTATTTATAAAAGTTATAGAAGTAGTCTTCTTTATGTAATGAAATTCAAAATAAAATTTTGAGTATAAATGTTTACAAAATACACACACATGTTTTTTAGAATTCAATTTTCTCATAATAATTCTTTTTTTTTTAAAAAAAATGATTTAGCAATTGCCAAAAAATAAATTCCTTACATAATCAAGAGATTTTTTCTAATTTTCATCCTAAGGCTTTATAGTTTATTTAACATACTATGCAATAGAAAAATATTTTACAATAAGTTCATTTTTGAAACATAACAAAAAAAAGTGATAAAAACACTTTCATAGTTGACAATAATATATAAATAAATAACATGTCGAAATTTTAAAGAATAACTATAATTTTATTATCTAACCATCAATAAAATCATTTAATGATGTGATCATTATCTTATAAATAATAAATAATATTAATTTTTTTAAAAATATTAGTGTTATATAATTAAATAAAGGTTAAAAAAATTACTCGTCAAAT